TAGGCTTTATATCGCTTAAAACTATACCAAGCTAAAAGTTCAAAGGAAGATCTTGGACTGGGACCTAGCAACTCTCCATGCTTTGGTGTTAGTACCATAATTGGTCACCAAGGAGACCTGAAAGTATCCTGCAATCTTCTCCATCTCAAGAACTTCAATCCCTATTTGATTTTCTTGGCCCACGATTATGCGAGAAAGAAAATGCTAATGATAAAGAACATTCATATTCAAGTTCTTAGCACTGACCTGGTGACTTTAGATCTATTACCATATTTGTCCAAGGACTTGGTTGGTTTGTCATGTGCTTAAAAACTTCATATCCAACAACAGGATCTGTTGCCTAAAACCATGGGAAAATATGATGATTTCATAATGAATAATGGTTCTCCAGGATCCCTATATCTTGCACCATCTTATGATTTTTCCCTGATTGGCTTGAGTAATGAATAATGAGGTCTATATTGTTTTCTACTCTGTGTAGGACAGGTCCAAGGTCATTATTATGGATGGTGATGGTACTCGTTCCAAAGGAATTGCAAGATCCTTGAGAAAGCTTGGGCTTAAGGCAAGTAGCAAGTCTTTGATGATTCTTTAATGATAGACGTATAGAAGACGTGGAAATGAAAAGCCTGAGGAGTGAACTATATATCTATTAGTTTTTTTTCTCTATACTGAAAGACCTATGGTCATCCTGGATACATTGGAACTAACGTAGATACATTATTGTTCATAAGAAAAGATAGCACATATATATTTTTTACTGAGAAGATAATAAGTAAATGTTTATTCATACAAAGTTAAATAATAGGTACGTTAGTTTTTTCACAACCATTAGTAGGGCTCAACATGATGATTTAGCAAATGTGGATGGTTGAGTAACTGGTTTGTAAATTAGGACTCTGAAGTATGTAATGCAAGATAAAGATTCATATTCTCATTATATAAAGTTATTAGGACTTTTCTTATGGAAATTAGTATGTTCCAAATATTAATAGAACCACTCAAATGCATGATAATTTTTGGTATTCTGGAATTGGTAAGCAACTTCTTAGATACTAATAACCTGGTGATGTTTAAAATTACAGAAACCTTACTTGGTTCAAGGTGGCTTTCAGTCTTGGGTGAAACATGGTCTTCGTATTAAGGAACTCAAACCCGAGACGACACTTACCATACTCAATGAGGTATTTATCACTTGGATGCTGCTTCTTCTTTTAAGTTCTAATGGTGTTTTCTCCTTCTTTCTCTTTTCATGATACCAAGTTTGAGCTTTTCACTTGAGCACAGTTGCAAAAATTGTATCATTTCAGGAAGCTGAGGCAATTCTGGAGAATATCAATCCTTCTCGAGCTCAAGTTCTTGGGTATGGTGTGGTAAGATAAATTGCCTGCATGGTACCTTAAATTCCAACTTAATCAAAATATCTTCAGAATGATCTATGAAACACATCAGGATAGATTGATGATGAGTGGGATTTCATAGAGGCTAATGGTTATCTGATCTCTTGGGGTTTCTGTATGTTATAAAAATGTTTGATTCCCAGGCAATTTCAAGTGCAATTCTGTACTAATAAATGCAATTACTTTCTGTACAGGGACTGATTGCGGCATCGTATGCACTTTTAGGCGAGTATATATGTTATGTTCTTTAAAATTATTCTATAACATTCCAGCTTTATCCCACTTCCCCAATAAGAAAAATCCCAACCCCAACTCACCACCTGATAGCCACCTCACCCCCATCATCTCCGTTGCCGACATCAGCCCACGCCGGCAACTCCCCTTTCACTGGCCACCTCTCTCTCTCTCTCTCTCTCTCTCTCTCTCGTTATGGTTCCTCTCCCAATGTCCTTTTCTCCGAGTGCTTTCTGACCAATCTTTGGCTTCTGTGACCAAGTGAGAGAAAGCCCATGTTAGATTTAGAATTGAGAGATTAAGATGTAAAGCACATGAATCAAAGTCAAATTGGCAAAGCCCAAGATATATTATTAGATTATATGTACAAATACTCTGCAACTTCTTTTTCAGCATTTGGGAAATATTTAATGTTCAGAACCTCACAGATCTGGCAAGAGAGAGAGAGAGAGAGGAAAGGGTAGTCGCCGACGATGGAGGTGATGGGATGGGTGGCTGTTGGGTGGTTGGGGATTGGGGCTGGGTGTTATTTTTCAGTTAGTTTTTTGTTTTTTTGTTTTATATTTTATTTTAGTGGAGAGTAAAGTTGGCATTTTAGGGGATTTTTTTGTTGAAAGAGGGTGGTTTCAAAACGTCGGGAGTGGCAATAAAATTTTATCGTATTCATTTCCTTGTTTTTGGTTTGGGGTTTCTTCTTCTTTCCTAATTAAGCATGATCCATCCTATTTCAGAGTGGGAGAAGACATTGCAATTGATTGGCGTTGTTGGCCTTGGTCAGGTATTATAATCTTCCTAGAATGAGTGCTTAAGTCGAAGTATTTACTTCCATATCTCAGTTTATGTTGAATCAAATTTTCAACATGTTCCTAAAATTTTTGGAATGCCTGTTTTGTTTCCGTCCCCTGTTGTTTGTTGTTCAGAAATCTAACTATCCTATGGTAGATGTCAAATGATAAAAAGTCTAGATTAGTTGCTGAATTCTATTCAAGTTCACATAGCTACATATGGGTGGGCATTTGTGCCAAAAAAATTGAATACTGATAAGAAACTTACATTTAAGAAATTCATATAGTCTCTGGTTCTTCCCCCTTTCTCATTGCTCTTTTCATTGACTACACCAGACCATTTACCGACGGGTGGCAACTTATGAGAATGCTGAAGATTTTAAGCAAGATGTGAGGTAAAACCACAAAATTTAACATTCTTTTTAATGTGAATTTAATGTCTTGTTCAGAAGAAATGATGTGACAGATTGTCCTCTTAACACTATATTGCGCCTTTCACAGTGCTGTTGGAGTCCTATCAACAGCCAAATGCTGCTTAATATAAATTTTGTTGATTCAAAATGTGGTCTGATTGTGGTCTCTATGTTCCCTGAAGGCTGCTGCTTGCGCCTGTTAGAGTTGGAGCCCAGGCATTTTCGTGGGCTGCTGGAAAATTGGAATCAAACGGCATTGGACTACCAACATCTCCTTCATCCTCAGATGTTAAAAACCGGGTATTGCAGGCTGCTGCAAAGCATGAATCTCAACCGTCTGATACTGATGGTATCCGAGAGTCATCTCCTGAATCAACAATTCCGGTCAATGACAGTGTAGATCTCTCCGAAGCATAAGGTTGATATTTCAGCAGCCAACAGAGAACAAAGGTTGATATTTTCTTGCAGTAGGCACTCCTTCAATTAGAGCCTCATGCTGTAGCTTGAAATGTGATCTGAGCTGTATTAGCAGTGAATGAAGGTTGAGTTAATTAACTGATGATTCTCTAAGAAGATGCACTATATGGTGATTGGCCTTTTGTGCAGAATTATAGCACGGTCGTTATGTTTCATCCTAATGAACTTAAGTGAGTTTTGTGCATCTTGCATAAAACAATTATTCAATTTTCAGTTGATGCCAACAAACAAGCACCAACATGGATATATAGGGGAAGCCGTCGTCATGTACAGATTTTGGTAGCAGTCAATATATGTTTATAGTAAGACTCATTTCAACTTGAAAACTTAAAAGCTTGAAGTTATTCTCAGGTGACTCATTACACGCCACGCCAATCAACAAATGCTAACCAACAACATTGTCATAGATTTTCCGATGAGATATAAATTTGTCAATTTTTTTTTCCTTCCGTATTCGATTAAAAGTAAACTGTAAACCGTACGTACTATAAGAATAAAGATGCTTGTTTAGTAAGGGAGACTGACGGACCAAAAACCAATACAAAAATTCAAAAGCCAACCAGGCAAGTTGGGTCTCTCAAGTTTCATCCGTTTACAAGGCAACTCTCCAACACCGGCAGAGCTTCAGAAGACCTCCATTTTAATCTTTACCCGCTAATTCTATTGGAGACAAACCAACCAGTAAAACTTCTAAGAATAAGGATGTTGTTCACTTCTCTTTCAAAACCGGTTTCCCGACTCCCAACCAATAAAACTTTTTTCTTTTATATGATAGATAAAAATAAGAGCTTTCACAAATAACAAATCATGTTTTGTTTTGTTTTATCTTTTTGGAGAACGAAACATGCCATCACTTTCAATACATCATAATTTCAAAGACTAAGAGCATCTACAATGGGCTTCCTAAACCACCTCCTTAGACAAATTTTAGGGAGGAATTATAAAAATACAACTCCAACCATGCTCCCTATCCACCTCCTAAAATAGGGAGTTCTCTAGGAGCTCCTAAATCTGAGGAGAGAGAAAGGACTCCTAGTGACTCTCTATACTTTAATGCTGCTTTATTTAATGAGTATTTCAAACCTTTATTTAATGCTAACTATTTTTTATTTTATTTTTTAATAGAGAAGGACCAATCAAAAAAGAATTATAGCATTTATGACTCCAAATTAGGGAGTATGGTTGGAGTTGAAATTTTTTAGAGAGCTCCTAAAATAGCTTTCTTATATTTTTAGCTAAATTTTAGCTAAGAAGTAGAGAGCATCATTGTGGATACTCTAATTCAATAAAATTTGATCTGGTTAGGTACTTTTTTCCCCGAGAGTTAAATTAGAATGATAAGAAGGGAGTTTCACTAAAATACCCAAAATGGGGGCTGAAATTATAAAAATACCCAACACCCAAAACACTTTATAAACATACCCAAAACTCATCATTACACACACTCAAAACCCATTTATAAACATACCCAAAACCCATCATTACACACATACCCAAAACCCATTTTGGGTATGTTTCTATGTTTAAATAGTGCTGGGTATTTTTATAAATACATGTCTAGGATTGGGTATTTTTATAAATATCTATTATAGGAAAGGTTTTGATTAGAGACAGGAAGACTCAGAAACAGAAAGGTTTCCTTTTTCTTTTGGTCGAAACAGAAAGGTATTTGGAAATGACATATATAGCTAGAAATAATTTTGGTATACCATTTTTGGTAGCCTTTTCTAATATCAGTTGTTGCCTTTAAGACTGTTATTGCCCAGGTCAGACTTGCAGAGATAGACAGAGACATTCCATGATGGTTTATCTGCAAAACCACCACAGGCTTCCTGTTTTTTCTCAGCTAAACTAGCAAAACCAGCGTTTTCAGGAGCACTATTTTATTGACCCCCTCCCCCTCCTCCTCCGTCTCTCTCAACCGCAAAAATGGTCAAACCCAGTTGGGCATTTGTTATCACCTACTTCATCATCTTCCTCAACCTTCTTCTGGGCAGTGTTTTTGCAACTATTCCCGCAGACCCACTTGCCCAACAGGAATTGGACAAAGTTCTTAAGCTCCCTGGTCAGACCTTCAACCTGAGCTTTGCACACTATGCTGGGTATGCCACTGTCAATGAAGATTCTGGGAGGGCTCTCTTCTACTGGCTTGTTGAGGCTGCTGAGGACCCTGGTTCTAAGCCTGTTGTTCTCTGGCTAAATGGAGGTTGAGCTTCAAATTTTTGCATAAGCTTCTCATTTATCTTTGTGATAGTGCTGGTTTGACTTCTCTTGCTGTTAAATTTTGTACGTCCGTCCATTTTGTTTACTATTTGTGTTATGTTCTGTAATATTTGGAGTACATTTCTGGAAAAAAAAATCATTTTTGAAGGCGGCCAGAAATCTTTCTAGTGATCGAATAAACTTGTTGGGTAGAAACTTGCTTAATTTCCTATTCGTTTATTAATGGTTGCTTCGTATTATGAAAGCTTTGTATTTATCTTTCGAGTGCTCTTTGGCTATTACTGTTTTGTTTCCCAATTTGGTATTTTATTGATATAGAATTTTTTTCTTTCTGAATGGTTTCTCACCTCCTTAGGACCTGGATGTTCATCAATTGCTTACGGGGAGGCAGAGGAAGTTGGTCCGTTTCATATTATGGCAGACGGGAAGACCCTATATTTGAATCCTTACTCTTGGAATCAAGGTGAGAAGCTGCTCATAACTTGTTAGAGGAGGTTATTAGGATTTTTTCGTTTTAATTATCTTAATGAATTATGTCAGCCAAAACTTAACAGATATAAAAAGATACCAGCCAGAGGTTACAGGTTGTTTTATGTGTGAGAAATATTTCAAGATGTGTATTATCAATTATATATGTGAGTTCCCCTTTATAATACTTGCTGCGGATGTAAGGGGCCTGGAGCTCAAGTGGTTAAGAGCCATTACCCCTGCACCCGAGGTCCCGTGTTCGAAATCCCCCTCCCCCAATACCCCCTGTATTAAAAAAAAAAAAAAAAAAAATCATTTTACTCGGATATAGTGCTTCAGATAGGTTGTTCGCAAATGAGCATATGCATTCCTCTCAGTAAGCACATGATTGTTGAGCAAGCGTGCATGCACCTTTTTCTTTGTGTGTCTCTTGTTTATCTCTTACTTTATGCTTGAAGTTGCTTTATTCCACTGCATCAAGCGTGGTACTTACAGTGACTGTAGAATATATTTTTAGACTGATAAAACCACATCTTAGTAGTTCTTTACAAAATGTCTAATTGCTTTTACCTTTTTGCAGTTGCTAACATTCTATTTCTTGATTCACCTGTTGGAGTTGGTTTTTCTTATTCAAACACTTCCTCTGATTTGCTATCCAATGGAGATAAAAGAACGGGTACTTTTCCATGTCTCATTTTCATGCTTTGAGCAATTTATGTTGTTAGCTTATTATGCACATTAGATTATAATTATGTTGTTTTGCAGCTAAAGACTCTCTAGCATTTCTATTGAAATGGTTTGAGCGCTTTCCCCAGTACAAGGGAAGAGACTTTTATATCACTGGAGAGAGCTATGGAGGTAGACAGAACTTCTTTGCTTGTTTTCTTTTACATCATGTCATTCACCTTTTTCCCTTCCAATAGTAAACATGTAAAACTTCAAATAAATGCAATATATCTCTATTCTCATGTCTTTGCGTGTGTGTTGTAAAAGGAGTACTTCGTTCCATTTTATATTTTATTCTATTTTGATTTCTTAGTATGTTGGGGAGGTAGGGGAGTGGTACATTATTACCTCCCATCCTTTGGTTCTCTTAGTATACTTATTGCTTTGGGATGCAGTATATCATGTTCACTCGGAACATTGGTTGACTAAAGCAACCTCATCAGGGCTTCCTTCCCACCATTAAAAAAGAAAACTAATTACAGAATTGTAGCTTTTTCAGTCTGGATATTGTAACAAACAGAAAGTGACTTCAGTTAGTGGTTTCAGGACAAGAGGAATGGGGTTTGAGATAGTAGCCTAACAAAACATATGCAAAATGAGTAGCAGCTCTACCTTTATTTATCTTATTCATGCATAACATGTTCGAATTTCTTGTGCTGTATTTTGGTATATTTTGTACGACTTGGTTCTGTATTCTAGTTTTAACCACCCAAAACTTGTGTACCAGGACATTATGTTCCTCAGCTAAGCCAAGCAATTGTGAAGCACAACTTGGAAACTAAGGAAAAAGCAATTAATCTGAAGGGTTATATGGTATAGACTTGGTGATTTTCTATCACAAAGGTGTGGGGATATTGTACATTGTGTAAACACATTAAAATAACAAAGTATGTGTTATGCAGGTGGGCAATGCTCTGACTGATGATTATCATGATCATTTGGGGGTTTTCCAGTTTATGTGGTCGGCTGGTTTGATTTCTGATCAAACATACAAGTCGCTGAACCTTCTTTGTGACTTCCAGTCATTTATACACACCTCAAATTCATGTGACAATATTCTAGACATTGCTAGTGCAGAACTTGGAAACATTGACCCTTACAGCATCTACACTCCTGCATGCCCTGCTAATGTTAGCCAGTCAAATCGGCTGCTGAAACGAATGCATGTGAGTCCACAATAAATTGTCTACTACGTTCCATCTGAGCTATTTTTTACTTTAAATTTCTTTTCTTCCCCCTCCCCCTTCCCCACCAAAGAAAAAATGTAAGACGAATAGCACATTCTAAATGTTTCAAATTGCCAACCAGGTGAAAATGGTTTACATAATACTATGGTCTCTTTTACTTCTACTCTCTTTTCGAAGTTTGTTTAATATGGTTCAGTTTAATGGAAAGTTGTGGATCGGATTGGTAACTAGCTGGGGTTTCTTGATTTATCACCTGCCAATTCTTCAAAAGGTTCTTTTTCAAAATATATGTTTGTAAGAACAATCCCAAAATGATTTCACTCTCTCTTTGTGCTTAAGTTTCCTGTTTTTTCTTCATTGTTTCTTAATGGGATCAGAAGGGGGAGGAGGGGGGGGTTTCATTATCGTGAACTTATGAATTTATTTAGCCTTGTGAATGACTGTATTTACCTCAAACTGAGGTCTCAAATCTTTCAATGATAGTTGACTTATTGTCATACTGATGATGGAATGTGATGCCATTTGATAGAAGGTGGGCCGCATCAGTGAGAAGTATGATCCTTGCACAGAGGCACACTCAGTTGTATACTTCAATCTACCTGAGGTTCAAAAGGCTCTCCATGTTAATCCAAATCATGCACCATCTAAGTGGGCAACCTGCAGGTATAAACCAATGAAAAGAGTGCTTCAAAGCTTTTGTTTGCTTTAGAAGTTATGGTTTCAAATGAGCTAGTCCATCGCTAGCTCAAGATTGCTTTGGCTATCTGGAAATTCATCCCTACTGAATTGCTACACCTGTACAATACTACCAGTTCTGGTTTGCAAGAGCAAGAAACCATATTTGTCTGTGATAAATATGGACTTTGCTTTAAACTAATGGTTAGGAGATGAAAAATTCATTGAAGTTTTGGTCAATCACTATTTTTGTCTCCATCTCCGGGTTGGGGAGCCGAAGCTGGTCAAATGTGCCTTGCCTGGAACTGGGATATATTGTCCTAAAATTTAAACCACATATCAAAATTTTATTTCACCTGCTTATATAAGCATGTCATGTGAGAGTGTTTTTGCTTTTAAAAGTGATGACCTTGATTGACAAGGCACTGAGTGGAAAAGTTGACATATTATGTTTATCCATTTTTTTGTTGTTTTGCAGTGATGTGGTATACACCACTTGGCAGGATTCTCCGAGGACAGTGCTGGACGTCTACGAGGAGCTGATACATTCAGGACTTCGTATATGGATGTTCAGGTCCATCTCAACATCTTGCAGATATAGATTTGATGATTACTTGTTTAAACTTTTTGATTAGTCACATCACAGTTTTAGATTCTAATTAAATGATTACATATATGAATTTCATCTGGTAGACCAAAATATTCACTCAATACTTTTCTTTACCATTGTCTTTATATGAGTAGTTTGTGTCATTGTGTCATTTACAGGAGCCATTTTCATATAACTAACATGTTGGAAATCATCCTACTTTTGCTATTTTTGCGTCTATGGCAGTGGTGATACAGATTCCGTGATCCCAGTTACATCTACCCGATACAGTATAGACGCTCTTAAGCTTCCAACTGTCAAGCCCTGGCGTCCCTGGTATGATGATGGGCAGGTAAAGCAGCTTCTGGGAACTATTTTCTTCCCATATCTCTACTCATTATAAACAGAATACTGAAATGGGATACAGTTCTTGTTCCAAGTCTTGTCAATTATACAAGTATTTCTTTGAAATTTTCCCAACTTATGGAAGTAGGCATTAATACAATTAGGCCTCGTTAACAGGTTGGAGGATGGACACAAGAATATGCTGGGCTGACATTTGTGTCGGTGAGGGGAGCAGGCCATGAAGTCCCTTTGCACAAACCCAAGCAAGCGCTTACACTCATCAAAGCTTTCTTGTCAGGATCTTCAATGCCTTCTTCAGAACTTTTCAGTGACTCTTGAAGGTTTCTTTTCGCAATTGGTGCTTGAATTGGCAGGAAAAATTCATGCAGTGTAATGCTTGGTTACTTAGCATGTATTACTGCGGAAGTGGTCACATTGTTTTACGTTGTAATTTAAGAAGAAAAAAAAAAAGGAACTTGAGAGTGGCTGTCATTTTGAAGTTAGAACAGGCTTTGCCATTCAATAATCATGTACTGCTATGCAAGATTTTACCCTGTCTTTAAGACGACATGTCACTACGAGATTTCCACAAATCTTTATTTTTCTTGAACACGAGTTTATGAAGTGAATAAGTTCATCAAGAACCAAGAAAAATACTAATTCTTAACTTATCCTAATGGACCTTGAATTGATGAACAACATGAGTGAGTGATATTGGGGGCGGGAGATTTGAATACTGAAGGGGGGGTGAATGCTCTTACCAAGAGGAAATTAATAAAGAGTTGAAAAAACAGGAAATTAGCTGCAGATACGTACGAAAAAACAATCACAGAGGTTAATTGGGCCTACGAATTGGAAAAGCCCATTATTTAATCACAGTCTACAAGTTTGGGCCAAAATTAGAATGAGCATTCATTGGTTTGTCATCATCAGCCCTACCCAAGGCTTTCCAATGCTTCCCTTCTTGTCGGCTCTCTCTCTGTATTTCACCTCAACTATCTCCTCCTATGTAAAACGGTACCTCCTCCACTCCTCCTCTTTTCAATACCAATGGTGCTGGGAGTTTACTCATCCTAACCACGCTAGGTATGCATCTCTCTCTCTCTCTCTCTCTCTCTCTCTCTCTCTCTCTCTCTCTCTCTCTCTAAATTGTCGATTTGTGCAATTCCTGCATGACCCAGGTTCTGATCAAGCTGGATTGGTACGCATATGTTCATGGGTCCGACCAACATGGTCATTAAGTCTAACCAATCTTCTTCTTCTTTGTTAAATTGAATGCCTTCATCTTATTTAAACAAACTGCATGCTCAATTAACTCTACTTACTAAACTTTTAGTAATGCTCATTACCTGTTCGATAATTCTCGTACGGAATGTTTCATATTGGAATCAAAGTGCCTAAATATTATAAAAAGGTTCTATCTTTATTTTCTTTTGCGGATGTGGTGTTCTTAGTGCATTTACAATTTACGTCTTCAGGGAGTGAAACTGAAAAAGTGAATCGTTAAATGCACTAAGAACACCCCATCGTTTAGATGATGAAAATTTTCGCCAAGTAAAGCTCAAAAAGTTGTATGCTTTGTGTTAAAGATTACTATGTCGTCATTCTGAGGTATGGTAGGCCAGCAGGATTATGTTATCAGTAAATAAGTAGGGATCGGTAATTTCTTTCTCTTTTTAGGTTACAAGCTTTGTTATAGATTCTGGTAGGCATATGGAGTTCGGTGTATGTTTGTATCACAGTTTGATGTTATATTTTAATATTACAGTTCCATATTTAAGTCTGTTTTCATCTTAAGGATGTAGAATCCAATTCCTCTATGAGTGGTGCAAAGTGATTGCGCTTCATGTTACTGTAACCTGGGCTGCCTAATTGACTTAATCTTTCATTGCCCAGATATGTTACCTTTGATGATTGAACATTGAGGGCTCATATTTAAGAGCTTTTTTTTTTCCCGAAAAGGGCACCAAATAGAGGTCAGTGTAAACTTTTCCAAGAATTTGTTCCAGTGTATATATAACTTCATCTTATTGCAGTTAAAACTTAAAACACAGAATGGGACTTAAGATACCATTGATGTTGCAGGAACAAAAGGGGAAAAGGGCTGAGGGGCAACAAAAATGGTGGTTACCAGTTCTAATCCCCACAACAAGGAGATTGTTGTCAGGAAGAGGATTGCGAGCATGTATCTCTCTCTCTCTCTCTCTCTCTCTCTCAAATGGAGTTGCTTTTTGGGTCTAAAGATCATTTCTTTAGATGGGTTTTCCGTACAATCTGCATAGTTCAAAAAGCTTGAATCTTTACTGTGTTTCTTGAATTTTCTCTGGAATTTATGGAGTGATTTTGGTTTTATAATAGCATCACATTCAAGAGGATCATACAGAAGAGAAGCACAGAGCAGTTCTCAGGCATTCCGTACGTCATGACTTTGCTCAACTGCCTCCTCTCCGCTTGGTATAATGCTTCTCGCTCCTTCAACCGCTTTCTATATATTTTTCTCTCTTTCATTTCTTTCTTGACCTTTTTACCCTTCTCACCTTGCGGCTTAATCACAATGGTTTTCTGTCTCTTCGTTACTGACATGGGATAAAATGAATGAGTGAAAACAATGAGTCTGCTTTTAAAAGGCATTCAAGCTTAAGGATTAAGAAAGTATAGAATCTTTTGGTGTATTAAGTGTTGGAAGTGATTGTTAGTGCTCATTTATTGAACTGTAATTTTTAAGCACTGTTTTTCTTTTTGGCATAAAGTGGTATATTCAGTAATATGTACTGTTAGTTATGCTATTTGCTTCTCTCTTAGCCAATATATGCATAGCAGTTCTATTATGCATCTCTGATGGAGATGGTTCACTGTCTAGATTCAATAAACGGGAAGAGGATTTTCCGTCCTTGAAAGAATACAATGATTACTTGGAGGAAGTGGAGGACATGAGTAAGTTTTTCAGCTTAGGTGTTTCTTATATTCTTGATGAAAAAAGTTAGGCTGACAAAAAAAAATCATTCTCTGGTAGCATTTAACTTGATCGATGGAATAGATGTCCCTGCTATTGAAGCAAAAATTGCAAAGTATCAGGAAGAAAATGCTGAACAAATAATGATTAATAGAGCCCGTAAGGTACTTCAAAATAAAATCACAGTGTTTTATCCTTTCCTTTCTTTTTTGGGTTCCTAACCTGCTGGCTTTGCTTTATGAGATTTAAGTCGTAATGCTGCCTTCACATTACTTGAAAAAAAAGAAGAAGCTCCCAATGCTGGCAATAGTGAACGATTTAATATATTTCTGCAAAATCTGTGCCAAGGTTCTGATGCTAGTGTTATTAATTGAATAGGCTGAAGAGCTTGCTGCAGCTCTAGCAGCGAGCAAGGGACATCCTGCACAGAATGATACTGATGCGGTAAGAATGGAGTTATTTCATGTATCATCATTTGCTTCTGAGTTCGTAATTGTGCTGCAAGCACCAACACTTGAGTCTGGTGTACAACACTTGAATCTGGTACACGACCACTCCAAGCACAAACACTTGAGTCTGGTGCACAACACTTGAGTCTGGTACACGACCACTCCAAGCACCAACACTACCACTTCAAGCACACACAGTGCAGTGAAGCACCGAAGAAAAACCACACTTATGCTATTGATTGTTCAGTTGTATAATTTCCAAATGTAATGATTGTACTGATAAGCTATTTTCAATAGATGTTTCATTTTTTTTATGAGTTTATTTTTCCAAATTGTGCCAATTTTCCAGCCCAAAGGGAAGTACATAATTTTTTAAACTGATTTTATGTGTTTATTGACAGGCTCTGAGCCAAGGCTCTCAAGCAGGATTTGGTACTGGTACACAGGGGCAGTATGCCCCTACAGTTGCAGGACAACCACGACCAACTGGCATGGGTCCACAACCACTACCACTTGGAGGGGGGCATGATATGCATGGATATGCTGTTGACGATGAAGAAATGATGAAGCTCCGAGCAGAGAGAGGTGGTAGGGCAGGAGGGTGGAGTGTAGAGATAAGCAGGAAGAGGGCACTTGAAGAAGCCTTCAGTAGCATTTGGGTTTCGTAGGATCATAGTGTTATTAAAGTCTGTAATGTAATACATGGCCTTTCATGTAAGAGCAGCAACCTGTGTTCTTTCTTATATCTAAAAGAAGTTTCAGATTGTTGGCTGCGGGGTGAGGGATAACAAATGAGGATAAAGATATTATGTATTAGTACAAAAACCAGATTTTTGGCTGAGTTCTATAAGTAATTATATTTTTGGATGTTCATGTATTTTTGAGGTTCTACAAAATTAAGAGATATTTAGTCATAAACCCATTTTTAGCACTAAAACTATAAATGAACCTTACACCATTTAATTTCTATAAATAAACAAAAAAAAAACCCAAAAAATGATAGCTGGTCCTATTGAATTTAATTTTGATTATTAAATTACGTTGATGCTCTATTAAGTGTTTTGGGCTTTTTTATGAGGTTTTGAGATTGAGTTTGTTTTAAGAAATCAATGGTAGTTTTGGAATTTAAAAGAAGCTAAAAGCCTTTTTGTTATGTTGTAAATAATTTTTGGGTGTGTTTTTAAAGTCCATTTCATATAAGGTTTTTTATATAATTTGGACTCATATATTGAGTATAATAGTGAATCTCCCATAAATTAATGAAGTAGATGCTTTCTCATCTTCAAATACTTTTGTATTTTCTATCTTATTCTTGTATATTTTAGCTTTTTAAAGTTTATCCACCTAAAATTTTCTCTATGGCATAACCACCCCAAAAGGGCTCTGAGGAGAAAAAAAAAATTTCAACGGGAAAACGAAAAACAGGCCAATGCACTTGCTAGCTAACAAAGAATAACAGGGGTCCGACCAAAAAAAAGAAAAAGAATAACACGGGTGTAGGACCGTTAAGAATCACCGACCAATAAAATCCTAAGAGCGCTAACTTTCCTTTCCTCCACTGCTTCAAACTCCATTATCTCCAACTCTACTGCTTCACCTTCACCCACTCCGACATTTGGGCATTTGGGTATTTGGGTTTCTCATTTCTTTCTCCCACCGCACTTCTTAAACTGAAATTACACTTCTTCTGCACCGACTATTCATTCGGGTGAGTAATTGATGCATTGAACTTGCTTTTGTATCATGACCTCACTGAGGTTTTCTGTTTCTCTGGAGACATTTGATTCTTCAAAGAAGTTCAATTTCTCTGCAGTCAATTCTCTTTGCTACAGTCATGTTAGTAGAGCTTCAGTAGTCAATTCTTCGAATAGAGTCGATCGTATTAAGGTCTCTGGGTTCAAATTTGAATTGTCGAGCATTTCGGAACTGAATCAAATGAGTGAAGAAACCACTCTGTCTATGTCCTCGAATAAAAATAGAGTAGATGAGAGTTTGGCTGAACAAAACCTGGATTTTAGACCAGCAAGTGTTAAGGGGTCTCGCGGCCCAAAGAATGAGGTCAAAAGAGAAAAGGGTTTGAAGTATAGTTCAAGAAAGAGTAGGTGGGTACGGGAATTGGAGAATTTGTTTGTGAATGATGGGGAACTTGATGTTGATTACTCTGTTATTGGGT